ACTGCAGAGGGTTTCACCCAGTCGTTAAAGACGGTGTTACCTGTACCAGCCCGGCTTCGTGCTACTTCTGTAAAGGGAACCACAAGGTTACGTCCCAGTCTTGCCCGGCATATCACCAGGCTCTTGATTTAGCAAACTCAGCCAGGGCCCAGTCTCTTTCGCTCGATAAATGTAACTCCTGCTTGCAGTCTGTAAAGCAGTCACAGTCCATCAGCCCTTGCCTCCTTCACCTCCAGTGCCCCCCACTAAGGGTGTCTCCCCAGCACCAACACGGCCAGGGCACCTGTACTCCTCAGCTGTGAGGGCTAATGTCCCTGTTACAAATCGGTTTGGGGCTCTTGTGGACATCTCTCTCCCTTTAGAGGATTCCCCACCCCCGGGCAACGTCAACTCAGGGTGTCCTCAGACCCGGCTTCCATTGCAGAAGTTATTGCTCATGCCCTACTCGCTCACAACGCACACCCTCCTGTTGAGGTGGTGCAGTTTCCAAATCGACTTGGTGCTCGGCACCCCACCCAGTTCTGGTGGACATCTTACCCGACCCAGAGCCTCCCGTCTTGCAGCCGACTCCCCTCCCCAATTCTCCTCAACCCCAGCCTCGGCCTGTCCCTATTCCAGGACCCTTCGTGTCTGAAGATCCCGCCTTTTCACTCTTGCCTGCCCGGGCTTTATTCCTTCCTGTTCTCCTTTTGGTGGAGGAGGTGCTACATTCCTATCCCCAGGGTGCCTCTTTTGTGACTGCATGTCTCTCGGTTCTCCCTCACCTTATTGGGCTACTTAGTTCACACACACGAATCACTCTCACTCCTCTGTTTTTCTTCTTTGGAACGTACGTTCCGTACTGGGGAAGCTTCTGGACCTTCAGAAATATCTGGCTGAGGTACAGCCACTGGTGGTGGGTCTCTCTGAGACATAGTTACATCCTCGACATTCTCTTTGAGTGCCTGGTTTTACTGTTTACCGTAGGGATTGCCTCGCAGGGAGCAGTGGTGGCCTAGCTCTTCTTGTATGCAACCAGCTCCAGAGTACGACCCTCTCTCTCCAAGCCTATGAGAGTGGAGTGTTGGAAACTCTGGCTGTAAGAGTTGCCTTGGGCACTCAATGGTGCAACATACTCCTGATCTATAGTCCGGGCAGGTCGGTTACACAAAGTGAATTTACCTTTTACTTTGGGCAACTCCATGGTTCTACACTTGTGATAGGAGACTTTAACGCTAGGCACCAGCTTTGGGAGCCATCTATTTCTTTGGGATCGGTGAATCCCACAGGTAGGGCCCTGTTCCAAACCCTCCGTGCATCTCACCTTTCGTTGCTCACACCACCAGGTTTGGAGACTAGAATGGATCCTTATACCGGGCGAGTTTTGACCCTGGACCTCGTTCTTGAGTGTGGGTGTTTTACTACAGCTGCTGTTACTGTAGGTCCCTTCATGGGAAGTGATCATCTTCCAGTACTTACTTCTACAAATAGAGCCTTAGCAGTGCCAGTGACGGCAGTTCGTTCACGGTGGAAAACCACCCAGGCTGGTTAGACAAACTATAATCGGGTCCTCTCTGATTACAGCCTGCCTCAGGACTCCTTGCTGGACGAGGCTGTTGCGTCTCTTCAAGGGGTCATGTTTGAGGCAGGCTCACGTTTATTCTCTCTCTCCAGGAGCTTCTCCTGTTCATGCCCCTTTGTTCCATAGTGGAATGATGAGTGCCTCTGAGCAGTGAAGGCGCGTCGGACAGCATGGGCACAGTGGTGGCGCCAACCCTCTCAGACTCAGCAGCTGGCTTACCAAAGGGCAGACGCTCTTTGTCAGCGAACCCTCCTCCAAGCGAAAACGTGCATCTTGGGCTTTATTCTGTTCTTCTCTTTCTTTTCGCACCTCTGCCAGTCAGGCATGGGGTTTTTTGTACTCTGTGTTGGGATCACATTCTGTAAGTACTTTTACCCTGTTGGGGAAAGGGGCGGCACCACTCTTACCCTGGGACAAGGCTGAGTCATTTGCAAATTTCTTCAGTCCTATGTTTGCTCCTCCTCCTCTACCCTCTAAGGCGATCAAATGGGGCCCTTTGCCACATGCTGTACCCGAGGTTCACTGCCAGGTGCTGGCATCTCCCTTTAGCTCCCATGAACTGCAGTGGGCACTTTCCCAACTTTCTTCCTGCTCTTCTCCAGGGGAAGATAACTTACCTTACTCATTCATACTACATCTACCTCCCTCTTGTACAGATGCTATGCTGGAGGTTTTCAATGCCAGCTGGTCTACGGGTGTCTTCCCTGATGTGTGGAAGCACTCTCTCCTGGTTCCAATTCTAAAGCTGGGCAAAGATTATACCCAACTGAGCTCTTACCGGCCCATTGCTTTACTGCCCTGCTTGGGTAAGGTGCTGGAACGACTGGTGGCTACCCGTCTCTCGTGGTGGAATGAGGAACATGGCCTCCTGCCTGATAACCAGAGTGGCTTCCGAGAAGGTCGATCCACCCTCGACCCTTTGCTTCAATTTACACAGCTCATGGACTCTTCATTTGAGTACTGGGAGTTCCTTTTGGCTGCATTTTTGGATCTATGCAGAGCATTTGATTCTGCGTCACACACGGCGATTGTTTTCAAGCTGGCCTGCATGGAGCTGACAGGAGCTCCCCTCTGCTGGATGCGCAACTTTTTGCAAGGGAAGACCTTTCGTGTTGCAGTGGGTGGTGCTTTGTCCTCACCCCGTCCTGTATACCGGGGAGTGCCCCATGGATCTGTTCTTAGCCCACTCCTTTTCTCTGTCTTACTGTTGGATCTCCCTTCCATCCAGGGAGTGCATACTCTGGTATATGCAGATGATGTGGCCCTTATGTGCAGTGCCCCGACTTTGCTGACAGTGCAGAAAACACTTCAGCGTGCCCTACAACACATGGCATCATGGGTCGCCACCCAGGGTTTGGAGGTTAGTGACACTAAGTCCAAGCTCTTATGCTTTACTAGAAGCCAACTCCCCACTCTTCCATCAGTCTCATTTAATCAGACGCCAATCCCTTTAGTCTCCTCTCATCGTTGGTTGGGAGTCACCTTAGATGCACCATTCTTGACATGGAAGAAACACATAGCGGCCCTCCACCTCTCGTGTGCATGTCACACTGCACTTATGCACTGGATCTCTGGCACTAAGTGGGGGGCGGATCGAGACCTTCTCTGTAGGTTCTATACAGCTATGGTTCACAGCAAGCTCACCTATGCGAGTGAGGTGTATGGCTCAGCCTCTTCCTCCTCTCTTCATCGCTTAGACATTCTCCAGAATTCAGCCATCCGTAGTATGCTGTGGGCATTCCCCTCCACCCCCATTGCAGCCTTGGAGGCAGAGTCAGGGATAGTCCCTCTCCCATCGGTGAGAACAGCGAGAAACTGTTTACCACTCCATCATATGGCCTCTCTGCCTTGTACTCACCCCTGCCGCCTCTCTCCACAGATGTGGGAGACAGCCTCTGTTCCCCCACGTTTGGTTCAGCCTTCCTTTGTGGCCAGGGCCCAGCATTCCCTGACCTGCCTTACACTTCCTGCGCTTGTCATGGCTCCCTCCTCTCTTCACTCTCCAGTCTCCCCTTGGCTGGACCTGATGGGGTACATTCACCTGGATTGGCATTACAGGAACAGGGAACCCCCTCAGTTAGTTGCATTTCTCTTTGAAGAATTTCGCTCTGTTACATATGACTCTTCATTCTCCACCTACACGGACGGCTCGGCATGGACCTCCCCCCATTCCACATCCTCTGCAGCCTCTTCGCTGATCTCTCCCTGTGTCAAACCTGGCGGTTAGACTCTGCTCATTCTGTTCTGGCAGGGGAGCTCATCGCCATTCACCAGGCTCTGGCTTTTGTCCTAGAGTACATTCCCCCACAGCCATTGGTTCTCTTCTCTGATTTCCAATCCTCCCTGGCACTTTTGTGCTCTGCCCGTCCACGGTCACTACGCATCCTCGTTCGTTGGACGCAATCTCTCCTGCGCTTTTGCGGAGCCCAGGTTGGAGCATCTCCCTTCAGTGGGTACCCGCCCATGTTGGAATCCGGGGAAATGAAGTGGCGGATCGAGCGGCCTCACTCGTGCACACACTTCCTACAATTACCCCTCTTGCCCTGGGCCACAGTGATTTCACAAGGGCTATTTGGAAGGGAATCCGCCATCAGTGACAGGAGGGCCTGGCACACTCCCTCTCTTCTTCGGCGTTTGGCTCTGTCCGATCTTTTAATGGCCCCTGCCCTTGGGCTCGCCATTCCAACCGCTTGGTGGATGTTGCACTGACTCGCCTTCGAGTTGGGCACTCGTGACTGGCGGCTCATCTGTACCGCCTTCGGATGACGGACTCTCCGTACTGCCCATAGTGTCCCTCACAGCCTGAGACAGTGGAACACTTCTTGTTGTGGTGCCCACGTTACCACTCTGCACGGACTACTCTCTGTGCGGCCTTGCGCACCCTTGGGGTGCAAATTTTCACTCTACCTCTCCTTCTCAACGGGGAGGGGTTTTGCCCTCTGGACCGTCGGGAGATATTGGCCTGTACCTGCTCCTTCCTGCTGGCATCAGGGCGTATCAGGGACATATAATACGCAGTTACTAGTCAAAACATTCTTCCACTTTGGTCAAGGTCTCCTCTCCTAGCACTGGACGGCCGGGCTCGATACGGCGTATGCTATCGGTGGTCTGGTGGCTAAAGCTCCCGCTTCACACACGGAGGGCCCGGGTTCGATTCCCGGCGAGTGGAAATTTCGACACGTTTCCTTACACCTATTGTCCTGTTCACCTAGCAGCAAATAGGTACCTGGGTGTTAGTCGACTGGTGTGGGTCGCATCCTGGGGGACAAGATTAAGGACCCCAATGGAAATAAGTTAGACAGTCCTCGATGACGCACTGACTTCCTTGGGTTATCCTGGGTGGCTAACCCTCCGGGGTTAAAAATCCGAACAAAATCTTATCTTATCTTAACAGAAGAAGAAGAAAAAGAATTCGGGCAGAAGGGTTCATACGGCTCCTCGACCTCTGACAACTCTTATCCCCAACAATAACAACCCCGTGTGGTGGTAGTCTAGCCTACCATATTTATTTATTTATTTTATTTATTTTATTTAGTAATTTGAGCATACATACAGAGGTACAAAAAAATACAGGTAAGAGCAGCATGCCAAAGCCACTTATATGCATAGCATTACGGGCTGGCTTAAAATTAACTTAAGATTAACTAAGCATATATATACATACACATGTTGTGATCACACCTAAGAGTAATATACACCGTGTGATAACTTCTAAGAGTACTGTACATCTTATGATAACATTTAAGTGTAAATTAAACTCTGTGTACACCTAATACCTGAGTGATCATACCTCATACCTGAGTGACCACACCTCATACCTGAGTGATCATACCTCATACCTGAGTGTTCATACCTCATACCTGAGTGATCATACCTCATACCTGAGTGATCATACCTCATACCTGAGTGATCATACCTCATACCTGAGTGATCATACCTCATACCTGAGTGATCACACCTCATACCTGAGTGATCATACCTCATACCTGAGTGATCACACCTCATACCTGAGTGATCACACCTCATACCTGAGTGATCATACCTCATACCTGAGTGTTCATACCTCATACCTGAGTGTTCATACCTCATACCTGAGTGATCACACCTCATACCTGAGTGATCACACCTCATACCTGAGTGATCACACCTCATACCTGAGTGATCACACCTCATACCTGAGTGATCACACCTCATACCTGAGTGATCACACCTCATACCTGAGTGATCATATTTCATACCTGAGTGATCATAACTCATACCTGAGTAATCACATCTCATACCTGAGTGATCATACCCTCATACCTGAGTGATCATACCTCATGCCTGAGTGATCACACCTCATACCTGAGTGATCATACCTCATACCTAAGTGATCATACCTCATACCTGAGTGATCACACCTCATACCTAAGCGACCACACCTCATACCTGAGTGATCATAAATCATACCTGAGTGATCATAAATCATACCTGAGTGATCACACCTGATACCTGAGTGATCATACCTCATACCTGAGTGATCACACCTCATACCTAAGCGACCACACCTCATACCTGAGTGATCATAAATCATACCTGAGTGATCATAAATCATACCTGAGGTATCACACTCAACCTGATACCTGAGTGATCACACCTGATACCTGAGTGATCATACCTCATACCTGAGTGATCACACCTCATACCTAAGCGACCACACCTCATACCTGAGTGATCATAAATCATACCTGAGTGATCATAAATCATACCTGAGTGATCACACCTCATACCTGAGTGATCACACCTGATACCTGAGTGTTCATACCTCATACCTGAGTGTTCATACCTTATACCTGAGTGATCACAACTCATACCTGAGTGATCGTACTTCATACCTGAGTGATCACACCTCATACCTAAGTGACCACACCTCATACATAAATATATAACAAATCATACATGATTATAACATACATGTATATAAGAACATAACTGCAAGCCACGCTATTCCCATTATGTACTGTGTACCAGTTTATCATGCATCATCCTACTTATAGTACTTAATTAACATTGCAGTTATTGTTTAATTATTCTTTTGACATGGTATATTTACTATTGTTTACTTTTGTTTCCTATTGCCATTTTTTACCAGCCATCTCATTGTGTTTCATCCTAGCTTGCATTGCAGTTATTGTTTTAGCATTGTAATCATTGTACTAGCTTTGTATTCATTGTGTAATTGCTATTTTATCACTGTATGTTCACTTTTGTGTAATTTACCTGGAAATTGTTCATTGATAACAACTTTGTCCAATCATTCTTTTCTTACAGATAATGCTATTACCACTTAATACTCCACTTACAATTCATTATAAATTAATAAAATTTACCAGTTAACTGTCTGCAGTCCCACCTTGCCATTGTTATCCAGAATGCTGAATGCTGACATAGACCCATATTTAAATTATATAATCCAAATCCTACTGAAAGCAATTGTCTTTACTACACAGCAACCCAAGCCAAAACTGTCCTCGATAATGCCAGGAATATAACAGTTTTTATCTGCAAAATTGGATCCCTGAGTAAGCACTATAATGACCTCCTGGCACTCCTAGATTCTTAAATACGACCTTCTCTTGTATTATTTTCACTGAAACGTGGCGTACGCAAGACACAACAGACATGTACACATTGCCAGGATACACAGTAATCTGCAACTGCAGGGCATACCAAATGGGGAGGGGTATTGCCATTTACTATTCTAATGAACTATTATGCTGTTTCACCACATACTTAAGAGATGAATATGGTGAATATATATTTGCCAACTTCTCTGCAATAAACCTAGAGACTCCCATTACAGTTGGTGCTATCTACAGGATGACTTAAACAGGTCTGCCATCACAAGTCTGGCATCATTGGGACCTGTAGTGTGCTGGATTACTGAGTTTGCCGGATTACAGAGTGGTTAGATTAGAATTCACTTAATAAAATTAACCAATTTGACTTACACAAAGTTCATTGAACATCGGCAAAAATCGAACATTTCCGCTACTTTGAGCTCAATTTCAAGGTACTTTTCGTCATGAAACCGATCAAAATCATATCTATTTCTGTAATATATCTTCCAGTCTATCAAATGGGACCAAAAAAATGAGTACACAACCATAAAAACCATATGAAAATATACCACAAAGAGGCAGCTAATGTTTTTTTTTTTTCATTTTTGGTGTACGTTAAGAAGCATCTTTCCATCATACATTGCCCAAGTTTCAATAAGATAGCCCAACATACAACTGTGAAAAGCCCTCTGGAACGGATTAATGCCATTGGTTGAGGGTCCACTGTATTACACGGTAGTTACGTTCCTGAAAATGTCATGTTCAGTAAATTCGTGTTAGATAAACCAAAGAACTTATGGGATAAATAAGGTTACAAAAGACAATTATCACCTGATAATTGTTTTTCATTTATCCATACCAATAACAGCCTCTCTACCTCTTCAACTATTTGTGGTCTCCGTTTTGAAAACATACTTAAACCCTTCGCAACAACAGCTTCCTTGATTGCCTGTCTGTTCGCCAAGATAGTACTAATAGTACTCCACTCTCGTATTTTTCAATGATCTCCTTCTTCATTTCCATTGTAATTCTCACCCTTTTTAACACAGGCTTGTCACTAGAAGCTTTCTTGGGACCCATGGTGGCTTATTTAGCAGTTACAAGTACTAGAAATAGTGGAATTATCCAAAATATATGGGAGGCACACGTGGAAACCAACCGCAACAGCTTGTAAACAATGGCACACTGACCCTTGGAGTGGCTGGGCCCGCTCAGGCTGTGCTCCGGGCACAACGACACAGTCCGAACAAGCATCGTTGGTTAAGTTTTTTGCCATTGGTTAAAGCATTTTTTCTACGGCAAAAAATGCCGTTGGACGAAATTGCCGTTACTTAATGCCGCCGTTAGTTGAGGGTTGACTGTATAATGGTCTACTGTATATTGAAGAATCTATCTGAAGGTTGTGTGTGAGGGGCTTAGAGTTCCAGCAGGTGTGTGTAAGCATGTTAGATAGGAGCGAGTGGAGACAAATGGTTTTTATGGCTTGACGTGCTGTTGGAGTGTGAGCAAAGGGAAGGGATTCAAAGAAACCGGCAAGTCAGACTTTAGTCCTGGAGGTGGGACGTACAGGGCCTGCACTTTGAAGGAGAGGATGTTAATATGTTGCAGTTTTTTAACTGTGGTGTTGGCATGCCTCTGGCAAGACAGTGATGGAGTGAATGATGATGATGAAAGTGTTTCTTCTTTTGTTTTTAGGCCACCTTGCCTCGGTGGGAAATGGCCGATGTGTTAATAAAATAATTTGTGAATTCCAAATCTGATTCTTTTCAAATCTTCAATGCTAATGCTTCACTGCATTATGTACTTACGCCACACTCTGTGCTAATCTTTTCACATGCATTGACATATGGAGGTCTGGTGTTAAGTAGTATTGGGGTACCTTTCTCAGCTTGCACAGGGACAAATACATCTAGCTACTATTATTGTGTGTATCCTATGCTTTGTGACAACAGCTAAATGCTGAATGACCCATATGAGTTTAATGTTTTTCTGATTGCATTAATGATGATAACATACCCAAGACTAGTCTATTCCTAGTGAACATACCCACAGCAAACCTTTGTCTGCCTCTGACCAAGCTTAACCATTGATACAGATACCTTATAGTTAATGAAGGGTTCTTGATCCAAGGGATTGTGGCTATCCACTTCTTGAATTGATCTTAATTACTACCCATTCCATAGACTGTATGACCCCTGTGGGTGTAACACTTCCCTCATGAATGTAATAATAGTAACAATAATGATAATAATATATGACCTTTACAGGTTTAGTTCTTAACCATAATTTTAAAATTACTGTAATTAATCCACAGGAACATGTCACATTACAATGAATGCAGGCAACAGGAGAAGAGACTGTCAAGCACAGTGCATGTATTGTGAAGAAGAAAAGTCAAGCAACAAAATGTAAAAATCTTAAAGCATGTACCATAAAGAAGTAAACAAGCAGTTATATAGAAGAAAAGGAAGTTTTATTTGTACTATAGTTGAAGTAATGAGATAAAGCTGCATCTTTAAGACATAGCTTTGAAAGTCTGTGAGTGACAATGACTCATTCTCAGAGTAAGTTTAACAATATAATGCTTGTTTTTAATGATCTACATTAATGAAAACATTCATGGTGCTACTTTAATAAATGTAATAACTGTGAATTCTGCCATAAATTTAAATTACCATGGTACACAATATTTCAATTCATCAGTTGAGAACCAAATTTTCTCTTGTAAGTTTCAGTAAAATTCTAACTATATAACAATTTTTAGCCAGTAATGAGCAAGAATTTTTGTGTTTTTTTTTTAGCAATTTAGCAGTTTGATTATTGCCTTTTCTTGGTATGCACTTCACTAAATAATTTCCCACCGCTTCAACATAAGATAGAAGTTAGTTTTCCAAAATTCTGCAGGCCTCAGAACATTGCAAGTAAGCACTATTAGCCCTTTCAGGGTCGACAGGCCCTCTCAGAAACTTGTTCTCAGGGTCAGCCAAATTTCAAAAAAAAAAAAAAAAAAAATTCTTATGAAAGATAGAGAATCTTTTCCCGATCATAATGACACCAAAAGTATGAAATTTGATGGAAAACTTGCGGAATTAAGCTCTTGCGAAGTTAGCGGTCTCGACGATGTTTACGTATCGGCGATTTTGCCCACTTTGAACCCTATTTTCGGCCAATTGCAATGTACTTGTCTACAAAAATCATAGCTATTTTGCTAGAACTCCATTTTTTCTATCGAATGAGTACAAGAAACCACCCATTTACCGATTTCAACTACCCAATACAGTGGTCAGAATTTAGCAATTTTGCCAATTTCACACAAATTTCAAAAGATACCAATTTCCGAATAGGGTCCAGAATAAACAAGAAAGACATTCCTGGCACTAAAATAGCATTTCCTCTGTTCATTAGTCACGACCCCATGCCCCTCTTACATTCTTTTGCATTCCGCTTTGAATTTTTATTCTTACAAAAAAATAGAAGAGTTTCTGTTATGCAGACTACTGCATTAGTGTAGAAATGGTATAAATAATATCAGCGCATTTGTGAAAGAATATTAGACTCACCAGTTGATGTGTATTGGACGCATAGCATGATTTGTTTACTTTTAAACTTCGGTAAAAATTGAACATTTCTGCTACTTTGAGCTCAATTTCAAGGTACTTTTCTTTGTAAAACCAGTCAAAATCATCGCAATTTCTGTAATATGTCTTCCATTCTATAAAATGAGACCAGGAAAACTAGAATACAACAATAAATACCATACAAAAATACAGTGCAAAGTAGCTGTTTTAATCCAAAAACATGGTCAAAGTTTTTTTTTCTCATTACGTACTGTGTGCTGCAGGATTTTTTTATACTGTGCACACTGACCACATAGACCCATTCTTTCATATGTAGGCCTACAGCTTTCTCTCACTAGATTTGAGGGCGCTAGAATTTAGGCGTGCTAGTACGTCAAAAACCCTGGTGTGTAAGCCATACTAGTACGGCCGAAACCCTGAAAGGGTTAAGGATGACCTTCCTAGTCAGTCGGGCATTAGCTAGATTTTTTTTCTCTTGTGGCCATTAAGTAAACAAAGAGGTTTCTCTTAACTTTATACGTGTTCATAATGTTCCATTTCTATCCGTAATTCCACATGTGCACTATGCATTTTCTGGTTGTGATTGGTGCAGTTTGCAAGCTGTACTGAAGATTGACTCGAGTAATCGTAATGACGTGATTGCAAACAAACCGTAGTATGGGGAGGGATTGAACCCACAGTGAGTCATGAAACTCCAAACCGACATGTTAGCCACTGGGCAAGCTGGCTACAATAAGATTCGTCCAACTAGGTATAATTTATACACCATAGGAAGGTTAACATGGGCCACCACTGTGACCACAAATGCAAGTTTTTACAGATGAATCTCACGCCAGCATGGCTGTGACGAACTCTAGCTCAAGTCCCCTCAAAGCCATCATCATGACTCAAGCCACTGGCCCAGTGGCTAATGCACTGGTCTGGAGTTTTACGACTCACTCGCTGCGGGTTCAATCCCCGCCTGTACAGTGGTTTGCACTGAAGATTCATTTGCCTGAAATGAGAAGCACCTGTATTAAAATTCAGGGAACACTTGCTGTGCATTAGTATGAAACAGCAAACACTAATAATTTCTTCTCCACTATAGGAAAAAACCTTGCCAATAAAATCCCAGGCTCAGATACCCCACCCAATGACTACCTCACTGGCAACTACCCGAACACACTGTTCCTAGCTCCGACTAACCCTACTGAAGTCTCCCTTATTATCAACATACTAAAAAACAAGACAGGAGATTTAAATACCTTACCACCCTTTATATACGAAAAAGCATCACAAGTACTATCACCAATCATTGCAACACTCTTTAACAAATCCATAGAATCCTCTACCTTCCCTACAGTTCTCAAAATAGCAAGGGTCACCTCGATCCATAAAGGAGGAGACCAAACAGACTTGAATAACTATAGGCCAATGTCCAACTTACACCCTCTCTCTAAAATGTTTGAAAAATTAATTCATAAGCGAATCTATTCCTACCTCATCTCCCACAACATACAAAACCCCTGTCAGTTTGGGTTCAGGCCTAATAAAAATACTAATGATGCTATTATACACATGCTAGAACACATATTACACTGCAATAGAGAAAAAAAAAGTCCCACTGGGGATCTTCATTGACTTACGTAAAGCTTTTGATACAGTTGACCATGACTTGCTCCATATAAAATTGTCACACTATGGTATAACAGGGCACTCCCTCAACTACCTAAAGTCTTACCTCAGCAACAGAAGCCAATATGTGTACACAAACGGGGCAAACTCTTCCGCACAGCCAATTACGTTGGTGTCCCACAGGGAAGTGTCCTAGGCCCTCTTCTCTTTCTTCTATACATAAATGACCTACCAAATGCATCGCAACTACTCAAATCCACACTATTTGCAGATGACACTACATACATCTTCTCTCACCCGAGCCCAGTCACGCTAGCCAATACTGTAAATACCGAATTACAGAAAATATTTACCTGGATGAGTACTAACAAACTTACTCTAAACATTGACAAAACCTACTTCATTCAGTTTGGTAACAGAGCTATGGACGTCCCTCTTAACATAATGATAAACGGATCACCTATCACAAAACTCAGAGGGAAAATTCTTAGGAATCCACCTTGATAATAGACTCAAATTTCAAACACATATACAACAAATTTCCAAAAAAATTTCCAGGACTATAGGCATACTATCGAAGATACGGTACTATGTTCCACAGTAGCCCTCCTGGCCCTATATCACTCACTTATTTACCCCTATCTCACCTATGGAATTTGTGCATGGGGCTCAACAACAATAAACCATCTCAGACCATTAATTACCCAACAAAAGGCTGCAGTCATAATGATAACAAATTCCCACTACAGGCAGCACACTCCACCAATATTCAAAACTCTAAACCTACTCACCATTCAAAACATCCATACTTATTACTGCACCTACTACATTCATAGAACACTTAACTCTGATATAAACCCTCCCCTCAAACGTCTCCTTACCAACCTCAACAGAACATATGACCATAACACAAGGCACAGATCACTCTTTGATGTTCCCCGTGTCCATCTCACGCTATGCAAAAACTCAATGCACATAAAAGGCCCTAAAATCTGGAATTCATTACCTGTGAATGTAAAAGAAACACTGTTTATAAATTCAAGTCTTCTCAAAAATCACTTACTCACCCACAACTAAATAAATACTGAATAATTGTATCTCATAAATTGTATCTCATAAATGTTTCTTATTATTGTATCTCATAAATGTCTAACCTGTGACCCAATCAAACTTTTTTTTTTTTTTTAAATACATTACCTAACAGAATACTCCATTCTATTGAATGCACAGCAACACAGTAAATGACCATATGACCTGTCTTTGTAATACTTATTTGTGCTAAATTGTTATCTGTTTACAATAATGTTTTTACCACTGAATATATCATTGCTTTGGCATGTTGCACTGTAATAACTGTATTCCTTTGTACTTCACTGTATCATGTTCAGATTAATAAATAAAATAAAAATAAAAAATGTTTTTCTTGCTGTATTATGATTTAATGATAACCCCTTTTTCTTACTACATAATTTTGCAGGTGGAATGTGTGACCTTTGTGGGGATGATCACGAAGCATGCAACTGTCCCATGTTGTCTCAGTTGGACCTTCTGGTGAGTAGATGTTTGTTCCTGAGGAGTCTGTTGCTACTACTCCATTGAGTCTATTAACCCCTTGACTGTCGCAACCCCCAATTCTGAGGTATCTCATGTCGCAAAATTTAAAAAAAAAAAAAAAATTATTTTTCTCATGAAATGATGGAGAATATTTTCCCGATTGTAATGACACCAAAAAATCGAAATTTGATGAAAAACTGATGGAATTATTCTCGCAAAGTTATCGACCACGGCGATATTTACAAATCGGCGATTTCGCCCACTTTGAGCCCTATTTTCGGCTAATTCCGTTGTTCCAGTCGACGAAACTCATAGCTATTTCGTTAGAACTTCATTTTTTCTATCAATTGGGTACAAGAAACAGCCCATTTACCGATTTCAACTACCCAATAATGTGGTCAGAAATTTGCAATTTGGCCAATTTCACAAAAATTATAAAATATGACAATTTCAAAATAAGGTCCAGAATGAACAATGCAGACATTCCTGGCTCTAAAATAACATTTTCTTTGTTCATCAGTCACATCTCCAGGCCCCTCCGATATTACTCTTGCTCTCTACTTTGAATTTTTATTCAAACAAAAAATAGAAGATTTACTGATACGCAGACTTCTGCAATACTGTAATAATTGTACAAATAATGTCAACCCATTCATGACTGCATATTAGAATGGCTAGTTGGACATTTATTGGACAATGACATCATTTGTTTACTTTTGAACATCGGCAAAAATCAGACATTTTCCATACTTTGAGCTCCATTTCAAGGTTCTTTTTATAGTAAAACCAATCAATATTACCTCTAATTCTATAATATGTTTTCCATTCTATCAAATGAGACCAACAAAATGAGAATAGAACCATAAATACTATACGAAAATAGGCCACAAATTCGGCATTTTAATTAAAAAAAACAGTCGGAGTTTTTTTTTTCATTATGCACTGCATGCTCCAGGATTTTTTTTATATGGTGCACACGGACCACACAGACCTATTCTCTCACATGTGGGCCTACCAGCTTTCTCCTGCTTGATTTGAAGCCACTAGAATTTATGAGTATATATACAACGTCAAATACGGTACCTTGTAAGATGTATGTATACGACCAAAACAGACAAAGGGTTAAGGCATTACATGATGTTCTGCACAGTGTATTTATATTTATTTTTCAAAGCTGTGAAATCCTGAAAATTAGTTTTTTGTCCTAATTGTGTTGGATTATGATTTTTTTTATTTATTTATTTTTTTTTTCAACAAGTCGGCCGTCTCCCACCGAGGCAGGGTGACCCAAAAAAGAAAGAAAATCCCCAAAAAGAAAATACTTTCATCATCATTCAACACTTTCACCACACTCGCACATTATCACTGTTTTTGCAGAGGTGCTCAGAATACAACAGTTTAGAAGCATACACATATAAAGATACACAACATATCCCTCCAAACTGCCAATATCCCTAACCCCTCCTTTAAAGTGCAGGCATTGTACTTCCCATTTCCAGGACTCAAGTCCAACTATATGAAAATAACTGGTTTCCCTGAATCCCTTCACTAAATATTACCCTGCTCACACTCCAACAGATCGTCAGGTCCCAAGTACCATTCGTCTCCATTCACTCCTATCTAACACGCTCACGCACGCTTGCTGGTAGTCCAAGCCCCTTGCCCACAAAACCTCCTTTACCCCCTCTCTCCAACCCTTTCGAGGACGACCCCTACCCCGCCTTCCTTCCCCTATAGATTTATATGCTTTCCATGTCATTTTACTTTGATCCATTCTCTCTAAATGACCAAACCACCTCAACAACCCCTCTTCTGCCCTCTGACTAGTACTTTTATTAACTCCACACCTTTTCTTAATTTCCACACTCCGAATTTTCTGCATAATATTTACACCACACATTGCCCTTAAACAGGACATCTCCACTGCCTCCAACCGTCTCCTCGCTGCTGCATTTACCACCCAAGCTTCACACCCATATAAGAGTGTTGGTACTACTATACTTTCATACATTCCCTTCTTTGCCTCCATAGATAACGTTTTTTGACTCCACATATACCTCAATGCACCACTCAACTTTTTTCCCTCATCAATTCTATGATTAACCTCATCCTTCATAAATCCATCCGCCGACACATCAACTCCCAAGTATCTGAAAACATTCACTTCTTCCATACTCCTTCTCCCCAATTTGATATCCAATTTTTCTTTATCTAAATCATTTGACACCCTCATCACCTTACTCTTTTCTATGTTCACTTTCAACTTTCTACCTTTACATGATATTTGTACCTGCATGTAATGTGTGAATGTACTTTTTAATTCATATAGAAGATTTTATAATCTTACAAAAATTCTCATGTTATCTGTTTTATACCTCCAGCTTTGGAGAGAATAATTTCTCACTTGTGATAAAACAATTAATCAGTTAATTTGATTCACCAATATAAATAAACCCTTTATATGTAATTCCATTCATTACAGGATTATCCTTTGTTTTTCAGTCCCACATCTGTATTAACCCTTTCACTGTTTCTCACATACAGCTACATATGTTATGTAGGTCAATGGTGCTTATGTAGATCTCCATCTTAATCACAGCACCCTCATATATGCTGTGAGCAGTAAATGTTGGTTTAGATTTGAGAGAATGGGTCTGTGCAGTGGGTGTGCACTGTATAAAAAAAATCCTGCTTCATGCATTGCCTGATGGGAACAACTAACCTCTCACCTTGTGTTTGGTTTAAAACATTGACTTTGAAGCATGTTCTTGAGTGTTTTTTTGTTTTTGTTTTGAAAGACATATTAGTGAAATGGAGATTATTTATTTTCAGTTTCAAACTGAAAGTGGGTTGAAATATGGCCAAAAATAGCAGAAATACTCAATTTTTGGTGATGATTTATCTGATGAAGGGTAGGGGTCCTGCTACCTCCTCCAGTCTGTTTTACAGACTTTTATGAGGTTTACTTCAATTATTGGGATGGCTTAAACCATGGCCAGCCATTTTTTAGTTATATTGTATGAACTGAAGATACATAAATTAAGAAGTGGAGAGGCCAGGGGATGTAATTAATGAAGAGAGGATAGGCTGTGTTAGTGGTTGGAATACCTATAGTGTTTATTTTGGGCTCTGTTTATAAGTTGGGATTTGTTGAATTTTTCATAAAATTGGCCAGATTGTTGACTTCTGTGCACTTTATAGGATAATTCTTACAGATGAACGGCCAGTTTGTTGCCCTTAATTGATAGAATGGAATGTATTCTAGTAACATAGTAAGCTATCAGTGGAACTGGCCTAAAATAAGCCTCAAAGTGGGCAAAAGTGCTGATGTGTAACTTACACCCAGACTGCCAACTTCATGTCTACATAATTCCATAAGTTTTCTATCAGTTTGCATTTTTGGTGTAATAACCTTCAGATAAAGATTATCTGCAGTTAAGATAATTTTTTAAACTGCAATACTGATGGGACTTTTAATTTTAGGGGGTCACAACAGCAAAAGGTTAATTTGAGTTAGTATTAATACTGTGCTGAGCTTTATTTCAGATATAATGCATAAAGACTTTAATTGAAAATAGTAAAAATTTGTATTCCTAGCTTATTACAAAGCCAATACGTATATATAACACAGCATGTAGAAATGGTTAGAAAAAATATTCAGATCTACCCTATAGATATCTTGCAAACTAAATATAGTTGTGGTATAATTACTCTAGGTGATCCAGTGATTTAAAAAACTAACCATCTTTGATGCACCTAATATAATGAAAATTCTGCAGACTGAAGCCATCCACACTGAGGACAAACACTTACATGTAACTGAAAATAAGAGATATAGGCTACTTACATATTTGCAAGACTATTAACCCTTTGACTGTCGCAACCCCCAATCCTGAGGTGTCTCCTGGTGTCGCAAAATTTAAAATAAAAAAAAATTATTTTTTCTTATGAAATTATAGAGAATCTTTTCCCGATTATAATGACACCAAAAAACGAAATTTGATGGAAAACTGACGGAATTATGCTCTCGCGAAGTTAGCGACCTCGGCGCTGTTTACAAATCGGCGATTTCGCCCACTTTGAGCCCTATTTTCGGCTAATTCCATTGTTCCAGTCGCCCAAACTCATTGCTATTTCTTTAGAACTCCATTTTTTCTATCGATTGAGTACAAGAAACTGCACATTTACCGATTTCAACTACCTAATAATGTGGTCAGAAATTTGCAATTTGGCCAATTTCACAAAAACTAAAAAATATGACAATTTCAAAATAAGGTCCAGAATGAACAATGCACACATTCCTGGTTCTAAAATAACATTTTCTTATCTCATCAGTCATGTCTCCAGGCCCCTCTGATATTACTCTTGCTTTCTATTTTGAATTTTTATTCAAACAAAAAATAGAAGACTTACTATTATGCAGACTACTGCAATACTGTAATAATTGTATAAATAACATCAACCCTTTCATGACTGCATATTAGAATGGCTAGTTGGACATTTATTGGACAATAGCATCATTTGTTTACTTTTGAACATTGGCAAAAATCAAACATTTCCCCTACTTTGAGCTCTATTTCTAGGTTCTTTTTATAGTAAAATCAATCAAAATCACCTCTATTTCTATAATATGTTTTCCATTCTATCAAATGAGACCAAGAAAATGAGAATAGAACCATAAATACTATACGAAAATAGACCACAAAGTCGGCATTTTCATTAAAAAAAACGGTCAGAGTTTTTTTTTTCTCATTATGCACAGCGTGCTCCAGGATTTTTTTATATGGTGCACACAGACCCATTCTCTCACATGTGGGCCTACCAGCTTTCTCCTGCTTGATTTGAAGCCGCTAGAATTTATGAGTATATATACGTCAAACACGGTACCTCGTAAGACGTATATATACGGCCGCGACAGTCAAAGGGTTAAGCAGTTTTCCAGCATTATTTAATTCATATGAATAAATAAATATACACATATCCATAATGCTTGCCCACTACTGCTGCTGCTGCCGCTGCTGCTGCCGCTGCAACTACTACTTCACCACTACTATTACTACTACTAAAAATAATGATTATTATTTTCTTTTTATTAGACTAAGCAAGTAGAAGACAGGGAGTCACAGTTTGCTTTCCAGTCTCTACCATCATGGGTGCAAGTGGAGGATTATTGCCAGCGGTTACGGCTAGTGGTTGCTAACCACAGTCTACCCAAGTTCACTAAACTGGGCCCCCTCATAGCTCCACATACACCTAACCTTGATCCTGCCACAACTTTCCCGCTCAAGGTTTGCATTTAGAATATTGTGTAAAAATAGTATAGTCAAAATGTTGATCATGTAGAATGAGTGTGGCAAATTTGGTTGGTAAAGATGGTTAATTAACACTAAACAGTTCATGAGGGCAGGGATGGCAGCTCTGTTGTGAGAAACTTTTGGAAGTTCACAAAATATTTTTTTGTTGTAGGATTATACATCATACAGTGCTGTATTTGCACTTTCCACCTTCAGAACTCAAGTCCACTTGTTATTGCTAAAAGGAATTAACCTAATATAATAGTTGCTGTTCTCTAGTTGGAAATTATTTTAGTTTGAGAGCTTGGACATCAGTCTAAATACCCAGCTGTGAGAAGCCTGGACGGGTAGAGAAATTGAAACGAGTAAGTGTTGAGGTTCTCCATGGGGAAGTGGAAAAGAATTCTTCCTCTGTAAGCCATGCATGTCATAAGAGGCAACTAAAATGCAGGAAGCAAGGGGCTAGTAACCCCTTCTTCTTTATATATTACTAAAGTTATGAAGAGAAACTTGTTTTTCTTTTTGGGCCACCCTGCCTCAGTGGAATATGGTCACTTTGTTGAAAGAAGTATTCTTGAGGTTGAACCTGTAAATGAAAGGGTTTTATTTTTGTTGGATTAGTTCTATCAAAATTTCAATAAGGATGAAATGATGCAAAAAATGATGAGATAATATATACCTGTCTAGTAATAAATGAGAGTTGAAGCAAAGATGGAATAAGAATGAAGTTTCCAGAGTCCTCTGTAAAAGCTCCGACCTTGCTGCGACCTATTCAAAATCATTTCTGGATACATTAGGGATCCAAAATAGGGCCTAGACTGATTCACCATGCAGTTTCTGGATACATGAGGGGGAAAAAATGCACATCTGTACTGTCATATCACCATCTGTACCCTGTCATATCGCCATCAGCGTTGTAGGTTTAAAAAATGAGTCTAACGTCGTCTGGCGGTGGGGCCAGGCAGTCTGGGCTCGAATAACAGCCTCCTGGATTTCATGGACCACAGGACCATAGTTTTTCAAATGGGCTTTGGAAAGTGGATGCTCCAAATACACTCCAAAAGTGTTTTGACTCCAGCCCTTGCTGCTGAAGTTTTTGGTCTTAGAGGCATTGGGTCATTGTCACTTTTGGAATGTTCCGGGTGCAAGATTGATTCTGCAGTCTCTGCGTCCATCAGAGATTGCACACCAGGGTCGTCTTTGTCACACACTAGCCAGTCCTGCTCGTCGGCGCCATGAACCATCATACCACTACCACGTTGTAGGTACCACTTCATCATGCACTGATCGAGTTCCAAGCTCTGTGGCTTCTCCATCACTTTTCTTTCAGCACTTTTTCCAGTTTTTGAGGTGGCTGAGAACTTACTTGTGTAGGTCATAATCTTATCATGAGCCTTCTTGATATCACAGAGGGTCGACTTTGCCAAATTATACTCGGCCATAAGTCACGTGTTGGACCAACCTGAATCCATGTGCAACAATATTTCCCTCTTTTTTTTCTAGAGTACGCACATAACTGGCTCTCTTTGGTGCCATACACAAGATAGCTAGGACAAAACACAGCAGTAATAATGCTAAAAGGAGTGGCACCCCACAAAGGCCACAAACTCGCTTCTGGACTGCACCGCCATTATCCATTATGCGCACCTTTTCGGTTAGGAAACAGTAGCGGGACTGAGAACAGTGGGTGGCAGGGGTAGTGAAGAGTGCGGCTCCTAGTGGCCAACTTGTACACTAAAGTGCATGCCAAGTTTGATTCAGCCTTCTGCCATATCTGAACGGCTGTTTGAATGTTTCGGTAATAATTTTAGAATTTTGCCCTTTCTCAGGGCCTGTTCGGATATTGGCAAGGTTCGGATAATGGCAGGCTGGATGTGCGAGGTATCACTGTACTGTTGAAAAATACCTCTTTACATTAATGTGATCCTGACAACAGTTTATTATGCCTGAAGCCCTGTCTTTCATCCAACATTATCGATGTTCTTGTTCCATCTTTTCATCAACTCTCATTTATTATTAGATAGGCATATACTATATCATTTTTTTTTTATCAGTTCATCCCTATTGTAATTTTTATTAGAATTGTGTACTGAATTACTGAGTACCTTCAATATACAGCCTCTCCTTATTTAACAACAGAGTTCCATTCCTAAGACCACGTTGTTAACCCTTAAACTGTCCAAACGTAGATCTGCGTCCATGTGCGGGGTGCTCTGAACGTAGATCTACATTTTTTATACGTGCTTTCAAATGGGGAAAATCAAAGTCGGAGCACTATGCACGTGAACGTAGATCTACATTTGTACAGTTTAAGGGTTAAACAAATTCATCATTAAATGAGGAGCAAGCTATAATGGTAGTGAATTTGTGTCAACCATCTTTGATATTGTTTTAATGTTACCTTTGCACCATTTATAACATTTCTAGTATATTTTTCTAGGTTTATACAGTAGTATACTGTACAGTAGGGCCCTGCTTTATGGTGTTTCGCCTTATGGCATTCCACTAATACAGTGATTTGAAATTATGACCAAAATTTGCTATACGGCAAGCGGTCTTTCAAATACGGCTCTCCCCACCCAGTTTGTTTACATTCTCCATGAGCACATCTCTCTATTATGTCTGGAAATTTTCCAAACTTTTAAGTGTTTTAAAGTTATTGCATATTTTATATGTACTCTAATAATTATACTTATGTGTACCTGTACCTAAATATACTTACACACTGTGATGGCATGCAGGTACACATTAAAATCATTAAGAGTCTCTCTACTCTTGAAGACTCCATATTAATAATAATATCTTGGGCACATTAACCCTTTGACTGTTTCAGGCCCCTTTCTGAAACTGTCATTCTGTCGCTCAATTTTTGAAAAAAAAAATTATTTTTTCTTATGAAATGATAGAGAATCTTTTCCCGATGGTAATGACACCAAAAGTTCGAAATTTGGTCGAAAACTCATGGAATTATGCTCCTGCGAAGTTAGCGATCTCGGCGACATATGCGTATCGGCGATTTCGCCGACTTTGAGCCCTATTTTCAGCCAATTCTATTGTTCCAGTTGACCAAACTCATAGCTATTTCTTTAGAACTCAATTTTATCTATCAGCTGAGTACAAGAAACCTCCCATTTACTAATTTGGACTACCCAATATGGTGGTCAGAAATTGGCAATTTGGCCAATTTCACGCAAACTAAAAAAGATGCCAATTTCAAAATAGGGTCCAGAATAAACAAGGTAGACATTCCTGGCACTAAAATAACATATGCTCTGTTCATTAGTCACATCTCTAGGCCCCTCTTATATTATTATTGCTTTCTATTTTGATTTTTTATTCATACAAAAAAATACAAAATTTACTGTTATGCAGACTACTGCATTATTGTAAAAATGGTATAAATAATATCAGTGCACTAGTGAAAAAATATTAGACTCCCCAGTTGACGTGTATTGGACGTGTGGTGTGATTTATTTACTCCTGAACATTGGTAAAAATCGAACATTTCCGCTATTTTGAGCTCAGTTTCAAGGTCGTTTTCATCGTCAAAGTAATGAAAATCATCTCCATTTCTGTAATATGTTTTCCATTTTATCACCTAAGACCATGAAAACACGAATACAATGATAAATACTATACGAAAATACACCTCAAAGTCGGCGTTTTATTCCAAAAAACGATCAGAGTTTTTTTTTCTCATTACGCAATGTGTGCTGCAAGATTTTTTTTATGTGGTGCACACTGACCACACAGACCCATTCTCTCACATGTGGGCCTACCAGCTTTCTCCCGCTTGATTTGAAGCTGCTAGAATTATTGAGTATATATACGTCAGAAACATTGGCTCCTAAGACGTATTTATACGTCGAAAACAGTCAAAGGGTTAAATGTCGTATATTACATTAACCCGTAAACGGTCCAGACGTATATATACGTTCACTACCTCAGTTACCGAATATTTTGAAAAATAATTTTTTTTATTTTAATGAAAATAAAGAGCACATTTTTCTTAGTGTTATAGGATAAAAAAAAATTAGGGTCAGTATTTACAGAGATATGAGGCTGAGAAGTTGGCACTGGATGCTCACATGACAGCAACATCGAGTCCTGCTGCTTGCAGAAGTGTTGCCGATATACCTTTTTTTCTATTTTCATATTATTTAATATAATTTTTATGTTCTGATAATTACAATTTATAGTAGTAGTTCTTGTCATTTTATAACCAATCTTTGTTCTGACACTAGTATTAGGTACTGAAATTGTACTCACATTGTCACAAACACATTGACAGGTGGACATTTACACCTGCCTTGGTCATTTACTATTGTCTTGGAATATATACAAAGTATTTATAGGTCCCAGCAATGTTTTGGGTATGTGGCAGTATTTAATAATAATGAGGAGGAGGAGGAGAAGGAGGAGGAGAAGGAGGAGGAGAAGAAGGAGGAGAAGGAGGAGGAGAAGGAGGAGGAGGAGAAGGAGGAGGAGAAGGAGGAGGAGAAAGAAGAAGGAGAAGGAGTAGAAGGAGAAGGAGAAGGAGAAGAAGGAGAAAGAGGAGAAGAAGAATACATAATAATAATAATAGGGCAATGTGTGGTGTGAATATAATGCAGAGAATTCGTAGTTTGGAAGTTAGGAGGAGGTGCGGGATTACCAAAACTGTTGTCCAGAGGGCTGAGGAAGGGTTGTTGAGGTGGTTCGGACATGTAGAGAGAATGGAGCGAAACAGAATGACTTCAAGAGTGTATCAGTCTGTAGTGGAAGGAAGGCGGGGTAGGGGTCGGCCTAGGAAAGGTTGGAGAGAGGGGGTAAAGGAGGTTTTGTGTGCGAGGGGCTTGGACTTCCAGCAGGCGTGCGTGAGCGTGTTTGATAGGAGTGAATGGAGACAAATGGTTTTTAATACTTGACGTGCTGCCAGCCAGCCAGGCAGTAAGGCAGCCTGCCAGCCAGGCAGCCAACCAGCCAGCCAGGCAATCAGGCAGCCAGCCAGGCAA